AAAGGAAATTAATTAGAATATTTTAATATCGCTATTTGCCCTTTCTCTATAATAGAAGTGTGAACCAAATTCATGAGTGACAATGACAGATTGAAACACATGTGTGCGATTGCTGCCAGCGAGGGCTTTATATGTATCGTGCATGCACAAGTCAATTTAACCTATTATAGATATAGAACAAACTTGCTTAATTAGACCTGCTTTCTGATATAGCTAAACTTTTTTCCAGCCCAGTGAAGCACCCCAACTTCTCTTTCAGGTAATTGTCAGCCACACAGCAGTAAATATCAACACGAAGCAGATTCTCCTAGGCTGAAGAAACTACAAGGAGGCTAGTAGTTTAGGAGAGGAAGCCAGGCATTGCTACTTGCCATCATTACCCAGACGGACACTTAGCATATTAGCCTTTTATATATATATAGGTACAAGAGGATTATATTTTCCACAAAAGCTAAAAGAAGCCCAGCTGGTGTTGCTTAGTGGTTAACTGTTGACCTATGAACCAGGAGGTCAAGGTTTGATTGCTGGTCAGGGCATCTGACTGAATTGGGAGCTCGATCCCCACTGTGGGGCATTCGGGGGGGCAGCTGATCAATGATTCTCTTATCATTGATGTTTCTATCTCTCCCTCTCCCTTCCTTTCTAAAATCAATAAAAAATATTAAAAATACTTTTTTTAAGCTAAAAGAAGGTGTTTTTCTTTTTGTATGTTTTTTTTTTTTTTTTGTCAGTACTGACTCAGGAGGTGAAACAGGCTCCTGTGGAGACTCTGTGAATATCATTACCAGCATCATCATCAATGATCCAGGGAGGCCCGGAACTGTGGGTTCATACAGAATAAAAAGAACTTTCCCCCTAAAATCCCTTTATATGCATATGTTCCAAGGAGTTCTAAAAGCAGTAATCTTACAAACAAAATATACAGAAGTTAAGTGATCAGAGACTACCTTGGAGGGAATCATAGCAAGATTTAAATGATAACTAGCCCAGGTCCCCATCTTTCACAGGAATTTATGGCATATGGTCACTGAGGGCTCTTCATAAACACCCACATTGATGCAGGTCTCATGAATTCATAAGAGAGCCCACAGATGTTTGGAAAGCTCTGTTAGAAAGATCATCTTCTTTATTAAGATAAAGATGCTTTATCCTTTAAAAAAATATCCCATGGATCCATCTTAGTTTTGTCCTGTGAAGTGTTGCAGGATAGCCAGAATTCCTTTTCTTACCTGATAGCTTTTATGCCTTTACTTTTAGAAGTTAAGTCCTTCCACTGGATTTTATGGAAGTGAGCTACAATACCCAAATAAGCCCCCCTCCTTTATTTTCTGGTCACATTCTTGCTGCTAGAGTTACATTCTGCGAAGGTCCGTCTCAAAAGGTAGTGCTCATTATAAATACAATATTAAAATGTGGTCATCATTGCAAACTCCAATAGGACAATCACCTCCCTCGTTAGCATACCATCATTAGTCAAATTTTAAAATGCATTCACTTTTGCAACAACTTTCTACTACAAACACCAAGCTTGCTGCCAACAAAACCATGGTCACTGATTATATAGTGGATTTCCTGGACTCACACCAGAACTTTACACTTATATCTATCGCTATAAAATAGTATTATGCCATCAAATATGTTAACACGAATCCCTATATTTGAGGCTTGTGTCATTTTGAAAAATACCAAAATGCTCTATTTGCCTTCCTAGCTAACTCATACTCTTCAGTTTCACAATCTGAGCAATGTTGACCTTCAAGTCACTGTTTGCATTAGCCTTTCTCAAGTCATCATCTAATAACACTCAAGAATCTCCAATGAAAACATTTTCTTGTATGGCAATTTACATTGAAGAAATTCCACCTGAGACATCGCTTTTCACTTGTTTACTTTTAAAACTGGTTTTATAGAGAACATCTCCCTAAGAGTGTGTCCTGACAGTTCATCTGGAAGTGAGACTAAGTGGTTGTTCAAAACACAGGCAATGATATGCTCAATTCCATCTCTGAGGCAGGACGAACAAGGTCACACCACCAGCAAACCTGTCCATGGATAAGAACATGCACATATACACACAGGGCACATGTGGAAAACAAAGGTACACTACTTTAGTCTAGTTAGAGTTGTCCTCTTTACAAGAAACTTTTACCTCCCTCTTTCTTCCCTCTTTCAAGGCCGTATTTTCTTTCCAGCAAAGACAATTCATTAGTGAGAGTTCTGCAAGATCAGTCTCTATAGTCCCCATCACCGCCTTCCAGTTAACTGAAGCTCATCTATGTGGCAGGCCTGAGCTTCTCCATCCAGCTCCTACTCAGATACACGACCCCGCCTCCCCCAATCCGACGCCAGAGGAGGGTGCAACCACAGAGAACTTCCACTCCAACGGGGCAATCCCCGAGTAGAGTCCATTCGAGTGACCGTTTCTCTCCTCCAGACACCCCAGCGCTAGAACCCCTTCCTCGAGCCGCGCCTTGCCGGCGAGCCTGCTCCCGCGGGCCAGCTCGGGGTGCGCGCCCGGGTTAGTCAGTGCGCACGTGACGCGCGGTGCCCACATGACACGGCCATGGGCGGGGGAGGGGGTCAGAGCGGCGAAGCAGGGAAAAAGTTCAGGAAGACCGGTCCCAGCGCCCAAAGCGGTCGGTCCCCTCCGTGCTTGGTCCAGTGGTGGCTCAGGGTTCCCCAGGGCACGGCTGCGGATCAAGGCACCTAGGGTCCAGCTTCCCAAAAAGGGGAGGGGGG